TTTATTCTTGACTTTGGAGTTTGATCCACTTTTGAAAAACTTTAACCTTGGCCATTACTTTTGAACCGTTGGTACTAAAGCTTTCATATTTCACATGTATATTTCTTGTGATAAAGCCTTCCCTTTTTTGTGACGAGACCCGCCCTTAGGCACCATTAATTTTGACCATTTTAGCTTGATCTTAACGTTTGACCTACATTTGAAAAACTTCAGCCTTCGCCATAACTTTTCAAGTGTTGGTACTAGGGCTTTCATATTTCACAGGTATATTCCTTTAGAAAAGACCTTTCTTTGGGTACCAACATTTTTGATCTCTTTACCTCGACCTTGGAGGTTTACTTGCATTTGAGAAATTTTAACCTTCGCTATGAGCTGCCAAAGGGGGCATCAGTGTCTCACAAACACATCTAGTTTAAAGATGTTTTGATAATTTTCTGCAAAAACGGTTGAGATGTAAAAAAAAAAATGTAATACTTAGATTAAAAAAATAGAACGTGGCTTGAGAAATGAAGAATTCGAACCTTTCATTTTAAATATTAACAGCAAAAAAGGTGGCTTCTATGCAACAGAAACATATCTATTTACACAGACTACATATAAATTTTTATATGCTACTATGATTTTTTTAAAACCTTTTTTGAAGTAAACATATGACGTTTTAAAGTCTAATTATAGATATAAACGTCACAATCTTAAAATACAACTGGAAATCACATTCATGCAGTGTGCCACATTTTTAGTGAACTAGACTTGCTAAAATCAATACCTTTGTTCCGTTTTCTCCCTTTGCCTTGAATTGTCTGTATGCCACGACACGTAAAATTGAGATACACAAACTGACCCCGACAAACTTTAGATAACAGTCTAATCCCCATTTCTACACTCTATACAGTAGACACGTATGGAATCCTTTATGCATTCATTTACATGTACTTCACTGAAATTAATAAATAAATTTGTCAGGAAAACTATGTCAATTTATTGTATTTGCAATCGAATATACAAATATTATGAAATGCTTTGAAAATGATTTGCAGAAAAGCAATTCTCGCTTTCTTTCAACTTAGAAAGACCAGGTCGAGACCTCATGCAAAACTTGATTCTTTTTATATTCAATAGTTCTTATCTTTATAAAAGGGAATACACTTAGTTATAAATAGTACATGTATATGGATATCATTAAACCCTTAAACATGTTCGGTAAACAAAACTAAGTTCAGGAGAAAAATGGCGGCCAAAACAATCGGGAAAAAATTACATCGAAACTTCATTATTTCAAAAATAATCTGTATTCGTCAAATTGCAAGTACTTATGTACTCATATGTACTTCGTATTTATGTATATTTTCCGTGAAAAGAAATATGCAATGATTTTACTAAATACCCCGAGCAACTAAAAAAAAATATAAGCACGTTAGATTTCACAATTAGTAAACAAAGGATGATCAAACAAAGATATTTCCCAAAACAGCTGCTCTGGATGTTTATGGAAACACCACTAAACTATTTGATATTATGGTTATCCCTCAGTAATAGACACCTTGGTTGGGTACATGTGAATTTCGGCTGTATTAATGTCAATAACAACAATGTATATGGTCTTACCTCATGCGACAGAGCTTTAAGTGCCTCCTTGAAAGAAGATGGGTGAACAAGGCGGGCGAAGTGCCTATAGTGCGACAAACATGAAGTGAAAAATAAAATCTCAATTATATAAAAAATTTCTTTGATATTTCATCTAGCATTAAAGTATATTTTATGCTAAATCTCTACAATTTACAAAAATCTCACAAAGACTGAAATTATTTGCCTACGAAATAGCATACACACACTAAAGAGGACAAAAAGGATCATTTTCTCACACTTTAACAAAATTTTTCGATATGAGTGGGTCTTCGCTCCATTTTTTTGAAAGTTGATCCTAAAAGTTTGCATAAAAATATACATTTTTTGGTTTACAAAAACATGGAGAAAAGACCCACTATACCTTAAAACTACACTTTTATGACAAAGCATTCGCATCTTTCCGAGAAATACTTGAAGTCCATTAAGTCAAGGGTCATATCACAAACATGATTTAAATGCCACTATTCGTCAGGAGCTGCGTGGCGTAGTGGTTAGCGTGTTAGTCTCAAAACAATACGATACTCCGAATTTTTATTGATAGGGGTTCGAATCCCACGAATACCATTTTATTTTTTTAAATAAAAGAATAATTTTTTCCGAGATCTTTTTTCTCAGGAAAGTTTTGTTAATCATAATTTCATAAATTTCAATAATGAGAACTTTATTTTAAATACTTAATTCACAAATTGAATATGATTTTATCAATATCTGAAGCTATAGGCATTCTGCACGCCTTGTTCACCCATCTTCTTTATTTGTTTCCCGTGAATCATCAAATTAGAAATGTATGCATTTTCTTATAAAGCAATTTTGCAAATATTACCATATTTGGGACTGTGCTGGTATTTCTGAAAATACGACATAACAAAAATTGTAGTTTTTTTTTTTCAGATTAAAGATTTTATGCAAATATGAAATTTGTTTTTGAAAGGAAGTAAACACAACAATGTAAAAGTTGTCTTCTCTTGGTGTCAACAGGTAAGTCTTAGTATCATGTTTGTGAATATAATTTAAAGACAAATATTAATCGGAAAAATCTTTATCGCTAATGGATATGTATTTTATTGATGGTTCACATCTATTGAGGTTTTCAGATAAAGTCCCATTGAATCCAATGTAACACTTACAGACGAAGCAAATGTGGTGCACACAGATTTCTAAAATTGTGAAATCCATGGCCCCTAGATCAGAAGTTCTGGAGTTAGGGCGGGGCTCTGTTGATCTTATATTGAAACTGCATCAATTCTTTGAAAATCTCCTCCTCTGCTCCTTGGTATTAGGCTGACAAACGAAGTGCATGATTATGATGAGCAAGGATGATCAATTTAATATGTCCCAATCAACTGTGCTGCGGCTAGAACGAAGACTCATTTTAGCAGGAAGCATTATATTAAAGACCGTCCAAGAAGCGGACTTTTTCAGGGGGCAAGAGGAATTCTTGACAGAGAGATCCGTTTAATCCACCGACAGAACAAGGTTAAACTGTGAGTGTAACTGTTAAAAGCATTCCGGGATGCCGACATGCCAGAATTAAAGGGAAGTCTCATAGAGGCAGGACTCAAAGCACGCAGGTCATCCTTTTACAACCACGTTTCACACACACACACACACACACACAAAACACGTTACCGAGTATCCCAAGATTTCCATGTGACCCACTATGGACGGACACAGAATGATCACCATTTAGTCCCGAATTGTTTCCAGTTGTGCAATTATGGGACGAAATTAATCAACAAATTTGACTTCCATATCCGATTTCACTTATGAAGGAGTGAAATCTCACCCCTATTCGAAGAATCAATTTTCTAATCAATTTTAATTCTGAAAATGATACCAGTGGCTGTAAATGCAAGATGACGACACACGCGATTTGGACTTCTGTAAATTTAAATTTTAAAAAATTCAGACCTCTACTCTCCATAGTCAAAAACTGCGATGCTAAATTGGTTGGATTCGATATTATGCCTTGATAAATGACAACTACGAATGATATGTTGCAAAATATTGTATTTGACTTTTACTGTTTTGCATGGTAATAAATGCTAACCTTATATATTTGGGTATGCTTTTCTTTTTCCTTTCAGTATACATAAAGTAGTTTCAGAGATTTTATGGTCAAGTAGACTTATAAAGAAAAGAAGTCAGCATTTCGTAAATTCTATGGTGACCTGCTAGCAAATAGAACCTGTTATTGGGTCGTATTTTGACTGACGTATTTCATATTAGGCCCTTGTTTTCATGCTAAACTTGACAAAAGAATATTCTGTCTACCTGATCAGTGCATGCTTACGGCCGACGTGATCAGTCGACCGGAATGCTTACTCCTCTTAGGCACCTGATCCCACCTCTGAAATTTTGGGGGGTCCGTGTTTTATGACTTGTTCACGGGTTTGTATTGTTTGCTGGTTTTAAGATCAATCACTGTTTGTTATCTTCACCTTTTACATGAAGAAAAATGAGAAAAAATATTTCATATACATGTATGTACATTAAATATTATTTAAAAAACCCATGAAACCCCAGTGGCTTTAGTATTCTACGTGAACAATTGTGTTTCATCTTAAATCATTTGTCCTGTTTGGTGATAGTGATGGAGAGTGGATAGCAGTGGCATATGCAGGCAAGTTTTTGTACCCTGAGTTTTTGCCGATAACCAGACTAACTGTTTTGTTGATCCTTGATCATCCTACTTCTCTTGGTTTTGAGTTTCAGTTTATTTTGTGTTATTTATAATTATTTAAGCAATATGAGCTGCAACTTTGATATCGGAAATTTTTTGTTGCAATATTGTAATTCACTATTTCAATGACAAAAAAAGAACGTTTTTAAACTTTTGTTGTTCATATTTGCGATGGAAGAAATATTTATAAGATGTGATGGAAACAATTTTACATTATTGTTGTCCTGTACAAAATTGATTTCAAAATACTGTACATTTCATTGCACAGAAATCTTTCTCCTAAAAAAAAATAATATTAGTCTAATTGATCATAAAGGATTAAATTACATACAGATTTATCACAAGAGCACATTTTAACAGCAAAATAAAATTCTCAAAAATGCAGCTCATATTGCTTTAACCATTCCATGGATCCATAGAAATAATTTTTAGAATAATTTTTACCTATAAACAAATTTGCAGACTGAAAAGTATTCATTGAACATAATCAAAGACCATGATTTTGTGCAATTCTTTTTACCATATTGTTATCATAAAGTAATCAAAAGGTAATCATGATTACAAGACCTTTTTAGAGTAATCTATTAAATCACAATTACTCGTAATCAGAAAAATGCATGATTATTGATTACTCGTGATTACATGGCAAACTGTAATCAATTACAGTTGATTACGGTTACCTCATCCCTGGTCTCTTAAGTCTTTCAAAAGCAGTTAAAAAATCAACAAATACAAATTCAAGGCCTAAACATTAGTGAATATATATATCAAACGTAATGTTCGTTAATTGCCGTTTTATTCAGCAAGACCAAAGGCCGCCAGATCTTTCTTCAGCATGTTGAATTTGTCTACTGTAAGTTGTGTGATTGGCAGTCTAACTGGGCCTATGTCGATTCCACTTATGATAGCAAACATGGCTTTTTCTACCTCTACACCGTCCCCTGTTTCAAAATAGATTTTTTTTTTTTAAAAAAATCAACCTAGACAATGAATTGACTTCTGACTTTTTTTCAACAAATTTTAACCCTTTTTTTAATGCAAAAACTCACGTGAACTTGCACAAAGATGCTTGAGATCTTTACATGATGTTGACTTAATTGTAAAATGTATTATATGGAATAATAAATAAATATTCACTATGTTGGACACGTATATTATTCAGTTCAAACACCCGAGCCTGTGAAATATGAAATAGAAAACATTAAATGAAAACTGCTTAAGTCCTATTTCGCTTAAGCAAAATATAAGTTACTAGTCTTCTATCTTTTTCTAAAAGTAAAACAGAAAAAAATATCAATTAAACAATAACATTAAAATTATTTTTAAAAAAAAACAAACACTCAAAATTGACACAAAAAGTTAAATTAATTTCAATCCCCCAAGGATATATACAAAAAAAGCACCCTAGTTTTTTTTTTTTGTTTTTTTTTTCAATTGCAACCTCCTATTTTATACAATGCTTTGATAATGTTCGTTTTAACCGTTCGCACAAGATGGACCAAGATAGTTTTTTAAGCAAAAATTGTCATTGAGAGACACCAACTTGCACTTATACTATATCTACCTAACCTTGTACCCCTGATCCCTCATTTCATCCCTACTTTCATTTGTCTAATCCGTTCAAAGGATAAAAGACGCCTTCCCGATGCAACGCCTTCTTTAATACAAGATCTTGTACAGGAGGTTGTATTCAAATCCAAGTAAATCCAAACTTGCTCAATTGGGTTCAAGTCAAGACTCATGGCGGGTTATAGCAAACGGATCATGGCTTCCCTCTGACGTCACCGGCTACTGACCGAGAACAGTGAGGTCTGCTGGTGTTATATATTATATCGTCCTCAACTTGTGACCTTTGTGGCTAATTGGGTGGTTGTGGCATTAAGGGAAAAACGGATTGCAAGACTTTTCTCATGTACTGTTTACCTATAAGCTTTCCACGAATGATTTCTTCGTCCAAATTAAAATCATGTAAGTTGCACCAATTTACAATAACCGAGTCTCCCATACAAAGTATTCTAGTACTTCGTCTTATGTGCCTAATAGTTTTGAAGGTATACCCCTTCGCATGCATGCCAGTTATAGCTATCCTTGATTTTCTTCCTCGTACTTTGTTCACAATAATTTTACAATACAAAAAACATATTAATTCTCGTATCAAAAATGCGGAAGACAAAAAAAAAAAAAAAAAAAAAAAAAAAAAAAAAACAAAAAAAAAAAACAAAAAAAAAAAAAAAACGAGCATGTTACTGTGATTACTGGTAAACGGTTGCACCTGTATTATCACCATGGCCGTAGGGTTTTGCCGATATATAGATTACTATAGTAGATACTATATGGTTGTGCCCCCTCAATAAAAACGTCTTTTTTTGCTTGTCAGGAAATTTTTGGTAGTGCCCCCTCAACTGTCAACTGAAAAATGTATGGTTGTGCCCCCCCCCCCCCAACTGAAATAAATTATTGCTTCCTACGGGCCTGATCACAACTATAAAACAGACCCCGTGTCTTGAAATCATAATTCTTTGGGGGGTCCTTAACTTCTTTTTTGTTTATATTAGAAGAAAATATTTCATGTTAACTTTAAGGAAAATAGGAGTTGTAAAGCTTCGAAACTAAATCAATTTTACATAAGAACTAACTTGGATAGCTTTTGCTGTTTTCAAGTCTCCGGATTCATACGCCGTTTTTAATTTGTAGAACAAGGTTCCCTTGTATTGTGCTGTCACAAGAACATCGATGCCAAGTGTCAAGTACGGCAAAAATTGCTGATAAAATATACATTTACCATATAAATTAGAGTAACAAATATATCACGTTTTTTTTTCTATAATGATAAAAATAAAGAGATTATTGTTCATAAAGTGAATTTTAACTTATTATGAACTACTTGGAATGAATGCAAGAAAGAGAGCTTTTATCATGTTTAAGTGAAATCATGGCATACAATTGTAATTAAATCTTTGAATTAATGGTATACTTACTGAATCTGTTCCTATTAAGACTTGGAACCGTTTAGGGTCTACCAGAGTACAGTTATAGGCGTCTGGCAGTTCCCCAGAGGAATACTTCAGACCAACCAAGTTTGGTATTTTATCTTTAGCCAGCATAAGGAATTTTGAAGGATTTACTGCAATTACAAACAATATTATTTTTGAAGCAATCGATAGGACAATAGCTTATGCACTCCGTAGATACAATCTGTTCTAAAAGCATGCAGGAGACTCAAGAACCAGTCTGATTAAAACCAGCCCCTTCTCGTCAGGAGTGAAAGGAGAATGGGGCTGGTTTTAATCAGACTGCTCAAGGACCAATATCACTTTTTACTTACAGTATATTCCAGTGAGAACGTTGATGCAGTAATAGAAGAAGGGTACATTTGGAGCAGCACTGGCGATCTCACACATGCAGTCCACTAGTATTTCTAATTGGTATTTGGACATAAAAAGCATTTATCTTTGTTGGTAAATATATTTTTTTTTTATTAAATTAGAGAGAGAAAAGAATGAATTTAGTCTATAAATAGTAAACAGCACTAAACCTTCATTGGCAGGCTTGAAGAATGAAGGACATAGGGATGCTATTGCTTCTACTCCCAGAGAGCTGGCATGTCTGGCCTACAGTAAGAGTGGAAGTCATATCATTTAGTTATGTATGTCTTTTCATCTTGCTATATAATTATTACAGTTATACGTCACGATAATGAAGGTATTACATTTAATTTTGAAAAAAACCAAGATAGAGATTAAAACTTACTAATTCTTGGGTTTCCTTGATATTGCTGGTTCCAACATGCAGAATAATTTTTAGTCTAAATAGATCACGCACATAGTATATCAGACATTAATTCCAGAATAGAACAAACTCAGAAATTGACGAAGATGGACACACTTCACACAGTACTTACTTTCCTCTAGACGCTTCCATCCACGCTTCAGCTACTTTTTTCCTTTCTTCTAATGTCATAGACATTCCCTCCGCTAAGGTCCCATTCACTGTTTTGAGAATCGATTGAGTTTTATTCAAGTTTATACGAATTTCGAAATATAACTTATAGATTCAAAAGTGCATCTTAATCTGATTATATACTTTTGAAGAAAATTCTACTTACAAAAAGCGTACTGAAAATGATGATTTGTCAAGTATTCCACATACTCATCAAATTTTTCGTAGTTGACATCTCTAAAATATCGTTTCTTCCTTTTAATACCATTATTTTTATCATAACTCATCGATAAAACACCATTTTTAATGTTATTTAAGAACTATACATGTATATCGCAAAAAGATATATATCCTAATTCATTCTTAGAAAGCATTTAAGCAACTAAAGTAGAGGTTGTTTATAAATAAAATTTATGATGAAAAAAAAAAACAACGCAAAAGGAATATGTTTATTGTAATGTACGTTTTTTTTTGTATTCTCATTTATCTAAAATTCTATAAAGAGCTAGGTTCACATTATGCATAAAATGGCCCTGTAGATATATCAATTTATTGACTAACACCTTATGTTCCATTTTAAACATCAAGATAAAGTAGAGACTTAGTGCTTTCATTTCCTATTGAAATTTTTTCTCCTTAAAGTTCAGGTATTGAAAAACAAGCTTTATGGAATTGCAATGTTCTTGAATTTTAAGGAAAACAGGTATATTCAAGTACTTTCAGAGAAGAAAAATAATATGAGCGCACCCTCTGATCTAAAAAATAAAACATGTTTTGTAATTCTCAGAAACGGTTCTATCAGTAGATAATTGCATATTGTAGATCAGAGATTGCGCTCTATATTAAATATCGAAAAATAGCTTTAAAAATTGGCTATTTTTGTAGAATTGTTCAGGATATGAAGAAAATGACGTATTTCATGACGTCATAATGTATTGACTAGCCAGAAAATTACGTCATTTTGGTAGATTCGCAATCGCCAAATGTCTAAATGAAATTTAATGCATTGTCAACTAAAACTAAGCAGTTTCAGTTTTTCAGAAATTCACAGGGCCAAAAAAGGCCCTAAGTGAACCTTGTTCTTTCAATAAGAAAACATTTTTTAAAACTTGGGATGGGATGCAGGTAAAAAAATGAAAGAACTATTAAAGTTTCCGGAATTGTAAACATGCGTTTTTACTTTTGTAATATGATTTCTGATTTCTTTATCCGCTTATTCATTCTTTAAGCCTAAACAAAGCAAATGAACCAATACTCCGACATGATGGGAACACAAAATCACAACCATTCCTGGGGCTAAATCCAGCCGACATTTATACAAACCCTCCTGCAGGGTGTATCCAAATATGGCACCAGCTGGGTAAAATGCCGATCCGAGCAGGTCAACATTCCACGGCTGATTCAACGAACAATATATGATCTCCTAGAAGATAATCTAACGGAATACCAGTAACATTCCGATGAAGCTTTGAGACAACCCCCTACTTTTTCCCGAAACAAATATTCAATGCCTTTTTCAGAAGTGCAGGGTTAAGTGATTAAAGCTGATTACATCGGAAAACAAATGAACTGACATTCCGGGTAAACTCTTGGTTCATTACAACAACCATATAAAATGGTGAGACTTATAGCCACTGAACTCCTTTATCATCCTCTAGGACTAGCTACTAGTAGTTAATAGTAGTTTAAATAAAATAATTTACTAATTTTACTCATGCAGTTTCATATTTTTCTTACCCATTACTTTGGAAGGGAGTAAATGGTGCAGCAACGGAACCCACCACCTTGAAATTCTCAAACATCTGCATCAGAGTTATAGTATTTTAAAATGAAAAAGAAATCCTATTGATAATCAAAACAGATGTTATACATTTTTTGTATTGTCGCAAAAGTAACTGAGGACGAAAATAGAGTTCATTCGTGTTCTGTATTCTATTTTCTCCCAGCGCCACTACATTTATCGCCAATCCCAGGATTCCTTTTTTAGCCCTCTAACATATTAGAAAAACTGTAACGAGCAATTGATTGGTTGTCAGGATCCGCAAAGTAATAATTCACAAAGTATACTTTGAAAACATTCAGATTTTCAAAGGGATAAACATATTCAATAAATAATTTTTTTTCTTTAGTTGCCGGTGTCACGTCGAAAAGTGATCCCCGTAGAATATTGGTCGGGGGTCAAATTTCTATGTAGAAAAATGACCCCGGGTCAATACTCTACGAGAAGTAGGGTTGTGTTTCGACCGTAGAAAGTCCTTCCAGGCCGGTAATTCTACGACTCCACTCACGTTGAAAAATGACCCCTATAGAAATCAGACCCCCTACTTATTCACTATATTATATAATGAAACCTTTAAAAATGAGAGGTGATACGCGTTAATCCCGGGGTTTGGGAGGTTCGGTATAGGCCTAGAGATAGCTGCGTCTCCTGATATTTTTTTAATTTGAAATGTTTGTTGGTGAGGGAGCAAATTACCTTCCACTCCTTAACGCCACCTCTTTTATATATATATATATATATATATATATATATATATATATATATATATATATATATATATATATATATATATATATATATATAGCTCTATTATTTTACACATTGAGCGCTGGATTGATCATTTATTGTAAATAAGATTGGCTTGTCTCCAAATGATGCACTGCAGTATGGTTCTCCCTATTTTCGCTCCTGTCATATAAATAAAGTCTGCGGACATTAATTTTTGTTGACTTTTCAAGGAATTTCGAATTTCTAACATTTTCGCTGCCCCCTTCTCCCTCACCCCTGGTCCCTTTTATAACTTCAATTCTTAATTCAGACTTATAATTGAATGCTTATTTTAAGTGTTTTACGATTTATACTTTATCTCTGTAATGTTATATAGCTTCAGGAGGGCGCCTATACGCGACAGAGGCAACTTTTAACAATTTTTTAAGCCCACAATTTGCATGACTCTGTTTCTTGATTGAATGACTCTATTGCTTAATTAAATGATTTTGATTTTCCCAGAAGCATGGCTAGGGCCTGTAATAAGGTGAACATTTACTCAAATTACACTGATGGCCCAACGGTAAATCATTAACACTATCCATTCAAAAACCTATGGTTAGTAGAGTAGGACCATGTAACAAGTAAAGTTTGTACATGTAGGTTTATTAACAGTACGCATTTTATAAAACACCAAACGAACATTTATATGCTATGAGAAATATGACATACCGGGTAATGCGTAGAACAACGAAGGAGTCATTATGCAAGTGCATTTTGGATAACATTCAACGCAACGACACAGTGTCTGAACAGGACAAAAATTATAAAAATATAGAATTTATTATTGTTCTTCAAGCATATAAAATTAAATGCGCAAACAAATAACACAATGATCAAATTGTGAACTGGGAAGCAGTATTTTCTGTTGTGTGAAGTTATCGCCCTTATAATTAGAAATTACATTCATTTTTTGCAAAAATAAACAATTCTGCTAAATCCAATTTAAAGTAAAAAGATCAAGAATAAACATTTTATAATTTCTTTTAAAATAACGATAAGAATTTTCTCTTTATTGTTGAATAAGTATTTTTTCCATTATTTTTATTTTACATAAACTATGAAACATCTATTTATTTGGCAAATACAAGGTATAAAGTTTATTTCACAACTCAAAGGAGTCAGACGGACAATTAATAAATAAAGAGGGGGAGAGAGTAGGGAAAGAGGGTTGAATAGAGAGAGAGAGAGAAAGGGTGAGAGAAAGAGAATGGGGTAGAGAAAGGGAGAGAGTTTGATTAGGGAGGGGGAGTGAGACTTAGGGGCGAAAAAGAATGTGGAAGAGAGTGAGTTGGGAGAGAGAGAGAGTCTCACAAACCAAACACCCTGACCTGGGAACATTAATTTCTCAATTTTTGAAGAGGCATAAATACTCATCATTACCACCACCACGTTTATCTGCTAAATATACAGGAAGAGAAGCCACCTGAACTCAAGTGAGCTTTTCTGATCGAAATTTGTCCGTTGCCTGTCGTTGTCTTTGTTGTCGTCGTAAACTTTTCACATTTTCATCTTCTTCTCCAGAACCAGTGGGCCAATTTCAACCAAACTTGCCACAAAGCATCCTTACGTAAAGGGTATTCAAATTTATTCCAATAAATGGCCACGCCCTCATTCAAGGAGGGATAATTAAGAAATAGTGAAAATTTGGCGGCATCTTTTAAAAATCTTCTTCTCAAGAATCACTAGGCGAAAAAAATTCAAACTTATAGGAGACCTTAGTATAGGTTCAAGTTTGTTCAAATGAAGACCTCCGGGGTAGGGTGGGGCCACAATAGGAATAAATAGGAAAAAAATCTTTAAAAATCTTCTGTTTAAAAACAGCAAAGCCATAAAGTGTCATATTGATATGGAAACATCCTCAGGTAGAATAGATTCAAATTTGTTCAAATGATGACCTCTGGAGGTAGGATGGTGCCACAACGGGGAATCAAAGTTTTTCATGAGAATATATAGGGGAAAAAATCAAAATCTTCTCAAGAACAGAAAAACCATGTTTAGTCATATTAATATGGAAGCATCCTCAGGTAGTGTAGATTCAAGTTTGTACAAATCATCAACCCCAGGGATAGGGAAGGGCCACAATAACTACGTAGGGGATCAAATTCTTACGAAGGAATATATAGGAAAAAATCTTTTAAAAATCTTCTGTTCAAGAACAGCAAAGCCATTAGATATACTGATATGGAAGCATCCTCAGGTAGTGTAAAATTCAAGTTTGTCACCCCTCCCCCATGTAAACTTTTCAATACTGAACTAATAGCCAATGTGCTCATGTGAGCAATGTGGCCCAAAGGTCTCTTGTTTGTTTATATGTTTGTCTTTCTTACATCAGAAAATGATCTTGATTTTTTTTAAATAATTACAACTGTGGAAACTTATTTTATTAAATATGATAAAACAAATCAAAGGAAGTGCGTATTCTTGCTCTAAGAGTCAAAGAACATCATAATAGCCCTGTTATGATTTCCTTTAATGGGGATAAAACATTTTGTATTATTAATTTTAAGTACAGAATAACCTTTTAACTTTGTTATTTAAATTCTAAAGCTTTTAGAAATGAACACTTCATATCATAAGGCTGCATGATTTAACCCCTATATATTTGCCTAACAAGAATTTTCCTACCAAAACCATGCAATTTTTTTTGGATAAAAAAATGACACAGGGTCATTATTCTACAGGGTAATTTTTCTACAATCCACACGGAGGAAAATGACCACAAGGCCATAGTTTCTACGAAAAAGTGGGTCATTTTTCTACGTAGAATATCCCCCCGAGGGGGGGTCAAATTTCTACGTAGAAAAATCATCCCCGGTCAGTGTTCTACGGGGTCACTTTTCGTCGTTACACCGGTTCTTCTCTTTCCTTCTTTCGTTCCTTCAAGCCTAGTGTCTTCTGACGATTTCCCAAATTACGCTGCATAATGTTGTGCAAAACTAAAAAGTGTTCTATTAAATTTAGCACAGAAATTTGATTTATCTTAGCGACCATTGGAACATCCTGTTGTCTGCAGCATGTTTTAGTGAACTGTTCTCCTTTCTTCCATTGGTTTAAACCGTAGCTCAGTCGGTAGAGCGCTCGCTCCGTGATCGGGAGGTCGTGAGTTCGAATCTCAGCCGCGACTGACCTAAGTCGATAAAAAATGGGTAGCAACTGTTCCTTCGCCATGCGCTCGGCACTTTGGAGTGAAAGTTGCGGGTCCTTCGGATGAGACCTTAAAAACCGAGGCCGTGTCACGACAGGCGTTGGCACGATAAAGATCCCTCACTGCTCAATGGCCGTAAGTGCCGAGTAAAGGTCAAAATTTGAAGCCCTTCACCGGTATATGGTGACGTCTCTATATGAGTGAAATATTCTCGAATGGGACGTAAAACAACATACAATCAATCAATTAATCCATTGGTTTAAATGTCTGCATGGCACGTCAGGTCAAACTTAGATACACACACTGACCCCAATAAGCTTAAGATATCATTCTTATTCACAGTCAAATAAATTTATAGTATTTGCAATCAAATCAAGCAACATGAAATTGAAAATGTTCCATATAGAACTGCTATATAGAACATAAAGAACTGCTTTGAAAGTGATGCCAATATGTTTTGAAGAAAAGTAATAAATAGCTGGTGAACACAGGAAATATAATCTGCTTTATTTTGACCAAGGTGGGGTCTGACCTCTGATAAAATTGAAAATCTTCACTTTGTTATTAAAATTTCTTATTTTTGCTAATTAAAATATTACATAATAAAAAGTATATTATGTCATTCAATGGTCGGTAAGCAAAGTTAGGGCTTATATGGGAAAATGTTAACCAAAACAATAGAACAAATTACATTGTTATTTTCATTTTTACAATTATTACAATCTATATTAGTAAAACTACACGTACCCCTCTTTCTGTGTATATATTCCGTGAAAACAATATTGATTCATTTTGCTAGACAACACGAGCAACCGAAAAAAAAAATCAGTGTCCTATTTAAGTTTGTAAGCAAACAAAAGGATTTTTCAAGATGCTCTAGATTTCTGCAAAACACCTGCAAATTATTCCAGAATATGAATATCCTTCGATAATTGACATTTTGGTTGGGTACATGTGAATTTGGCAGTGCAAAGATCGACTATCGTTTTACCTCATGCGATTGTTTCTCCTTAGAACTTATTTTCAATTGCCATGAATCATCGTTGTTTGAAAAGCAAACATTTTTAAAGTAGCAATATTTCAAAATATCATATTTCCTGAAAGTTTGTCAC